AAAATAAATCCATAAAGAGGGGGGGAAGGGGAGTTTTCCTCAGGAATATAAAACAATGCCATCCATGTGGGTCACACCCAACTCCCTTTGGTGGTTCATGTCCAGAAATCCTGGAGCAGGCCCTGAAGCAGTTTGACGTGGCAACAGTTTTCTCCTTTTTCTTGTTTTCTTTTTTGGTACTGGGGATTGAACCCAGGGGCGCTTAACCACAGAGCCCCATCCCCAGCCCTATTTTGTATTTTATTTAGATACAGGGTCTCACTGAGGTGCTTAGGGCCTCGCTTTGGCTGAGGCTGGCTTTGAGATCCTCCTGCCTCAGCCTCCCGAGCCACTGGGATGACAGGCGTGGGCCACCGCGCTGCAGCAGGTTTTCCTCTTCAACAAGTCACCTTCCATCCCTGGATTCTCCTCAGGGAATAGAAGAAGTCCGGGTTATGATAGGGCTGGGCCTTTGCAAAAGTTGGGTAAAGAAGCTGGGCGTGGTGTGCACTCCTGTAACCCCAGGTCCCCGGGAGGTTAAGGCAGGGGATTGTAAGTTCAAGGCCAGGCTGAGCAATCTAGCAAGACCCTGTTTCAAAAAAAAAAAAAAATGGGTAGAGTAGACATTTGAGAGTGTTTGTTATCAGAGTGCTTATTTTTGCTAAGCTTCAAAATAGTTTTAAAATACATGTATTTTTAATTTTCTTTTTGTGTGTGTGGTTCTGGGATTGAATCCAGGACCTGACGCACGCGAGGCAAGCACTGAGTTATACCTCCCCAGCCCCTAAAATATATATATTTTAAAATGAATTAGACTCATGCTTCAGAACCCCCGAAACATCTGTGCCAAATAAGGAGGCTCCAACGTACCGCTTTCCCCATGAGGAGGAGATTGGGCTCAGGGAGGAGGTGGGTGGGTGCAAGTTCTGGTCAGGGCCTGTCCTGCTGGGAGCGTGGACAGGCACCATCCCTGGGATCCAGCGGAGCATCTCTGATGTCCCTGACCCAGCATTCCCACAGGAACCCCTCCGCCCGTGTCCCCACCGCAGCCCACCGCCAACCAGTGGGCAGAGGAGCAGGGCGGGAATGCTGGCCAAGCTCCACAGTTGTCTTCCAGGCAGGTGGCCCCCAAAGGAAAGACTGAGGGGAGGGAGGGGCTCAGAAATCAAACTGGGCTCAAAGCTTGATTAATCACCTTCATTTGCATATGGCAGTCTCCCTGGAGCCTCTAGGACTGAGAACACTCCCCACCCCACAGCAGGGAGGGGGCAGGCCGGGCCGGGACAGAAACCCCTCTCCTTCCCGCTGCCAGGGTCTTGCCAGCATTCAGCCATAAACATGCTGTCACAGCAATGACAGGATGACAGGCACCGAGAGGGAGAGGCACGTGGCCCTGGTGGAGCTCTGGGCACAGCCATGGGTGCAAGGACCAGGTTCCCTGTGCGCCCACCCAGGCCTCAGTGGTGTCATCTTGGATTTGTGATGTGCCCTCCTGGAGCCTCAGTTTCCCCCATTTTAAAACCGTGGAAAACTAGCCTGGTGCAGGGGTGCACCCCTGTCATCCCAGCCTCTCGGGAGGCTGAAGTAGGAGGATCCCGAGTTCAAAGCCAGCCTCAGCAAATCAAGGCACTAAGCCAGTCAGTGAGACTCGGTCTCTAAATAGAGTATTAAAAGGGCTGGGATGGGGCTCAGGGGTCGAGTGTCCCTGGTTCAATTCCTGGTACAAAAAAAAATGTGGGAAACGAACTGAGACAGGGCAGTTGGGAGGCCGGTGAAGCTCGTAGAGCCTGGGGCCTCCCCCAGTAACCGGGTGACTTGTTCCATTTTGTTTTTTAATGATTCACTATCAGAGCCACCTCTGGGTTGGGGACGGTCCTGACATCCTGAAGGCTCTCTTTCAGGGCGCATCCTGGCTGTTGACTGTCCCCAGTCAGGGGAAGATCAGACCCAGGCCCACGTGGCGCTTTGTGAGCCAGTAGCAGCAGAACCATGGGGGGTGCGGGGCGGGGATGGGGGAGCACCTGCCTCCCCTCCTCGCCTGGGTGCTTGGTGCTTGTGGCAGAGCCTCCAGCTGGCTTCCAGAGTGACAGAAATGGATTGGCACCACCGTCACTGGGGATCCTTGGCACGGCTCCTGGGTGGCTCTCTGCCAGGCTGGCATCGCGGCGGCTGGGCTGTGCCAAGATCTTTATACGAGTCCCGTGAGCTGAGGAGAGGGGCCGCCAGGCTCCCCACACCCTTGGCCCGGGGCCTGCACACATCCTGGGGAATCCACTTCCACCCCGGTCCCCGCTCATGGGCGCCTGGACCTGGAGGGTCCCCGTGCACCATGGAGCTGCCAGTATAGTTGGGGGCTTCGAGAGGCGCCATAATCCCAGCCCAGAAGGCATGGGGGTGGGAGCTGGGCAGAGCCACGGGAGCACTGGGGAGCACGTTGAGGAGGGGCCTGGACAGGCTTCCTGGAGGAAGGGACATCTGGAATGGGTCCCAAAGGATGGGCAGGGCTGGGCAGAGACAGCTGGGGGTGGAGGCGACAGGTGGTCCTGGCAGAGGGTACGAGACCCGAGAGACGGGAGCCGGGCGGTGCGTTTGGGGCCCAGGAAGCAGTCGTTGTGGGCCGTGAAGGGGAGGAAGTGGAAACCAGGGCTGCAGACGAGTTTAGGGCCACGTTCTACAAGGTCTTCAGTGACAGAGCCCTTGAGTGGGACGGCAATGGGGGGGAGCCAGAGCAGCATGTGCTGAGGAGGTCTGGGAGAGGCCAGGCCCCTGCCCTGAAATCCCGCTTGTGCCCAGACTCTGTGTGACTCGCGGGGTATAAAGGACAGTTGGGAACAAAGATGGCGCTGAGGTGGGGACTCCTGGTACCATGAGAGAGCCCTCAGCCAGACAGGGGCTGGGCAAGGGAATTGGGGGGAACAGGAAGGATGGCAGGTTTGAGGTGCTGACGCTGGGGCAGGGATGGCTTTATCTCCTGGGGAGGAGCTGACCCCCAAGACCAACGCCCAGGCTGGTCACCATGCCCAGAGATCCGTTGCCTGGCGTCATGTGTGTCCACAGGGACAGCAAACTGCTCTAAGCGCCCCGGGACTGCCCTCCCCTCCGCCAAGCCTCCTCTTGCCTCCTTCCTGCGATTTCTGGGTTTCCTGCCCCCCTCGGGATGGGGAGGGTGGTGAGTCCATTCATTGGAAAACACCCCTCAGGCTCCCTGTGGGCGGGGGGGCGGGGGGTGTCCTGCAGGCTTCGCCCAGGCTCTCCGTGTCCCCGCAGGACTGAAGGGCAGGCCAGGCTCTTGGACCTGCATGGATCCAACACAGACTCCAAGCCTCCCATCACAGGGAGAGCAGAGCGCCAGGCCTGGCTCTGTCAGGCTCAGGGGCCGCCTGGACCTAGCCCTGGATCCGCCGGGGCCCTGAGGCAGGGCTGAGAGTCCCCTGAGCCCAGCAGCGCTTGACTGACAGGCCTTAGAGCAGCCTTGTCCTGCTGCCTGGGGCTTCAGGAGGCTGGCCTCGGGGCTCTCATTAGGGAAGGGTGGGAGGTGGGGCAAGGGCACTGGCTGCCTGCGTGGTGGCCAGGACAGCGGTGAGCTCTGTGGTGTGTGACCTCAGGCACAGAGTGACATGTGATGAGAGATCTTGACATAACCTGGCCCTGGGTAGAAGCCCCCCTCCAGCCAGGGTAGGGGACAAGACGGAAATTGATGGGACCACTCTGTGTTCAGCTCATGGCTCTGGAACAGCAGACCCTCGGGCAGTGGGGGCCGGGTTCCTAGTCTCCCTAGGGACCAGGACTCGTTGGGCAGGGATGGCAGAGAGCACAGAGCGTGAGTCTGGGAGGAGGTGCCAGCCAGGGGGTGGGCAGCCTGGTCAGGGCTTCAGGGGCGCGGGCTGCCCTCCCTCAGGTGGGCGGGAGCTGGCTGGGGTGGGGTTGGGGGCCACAGGCGCTGAGCCCGCTGGAGGAGGGATTCTGGGGACAGGATCATTACAGGCCACCAGCCTTCCCTCAGCCCTGGGCCGTTATGTGGCTACAAATCACAAAGAAGCCGCAGTGTCAGCACCTGTGGGAGCCTGATGGAATACGGGGGCGGCCGGAAAAATCCCATCAGCTACTGATCTGCAGAGCCCCGCCGGATGGGGGGGGAGGTGGGGCGTCTCCGGAGCCCACAGACACCCCACGGCCCCCCAGCTGCAGGCCTTCTCGCCTTAGCAGGGATGTCCTGGGACCCCCCAGGGTCAGCTCCTCCTCAGCATGGAGGGAGGGTCCTGAGACCCCAGGCGGCTCTGCTTCTGGGGGGAGGAGGCGGGCGCACAGGTGGGGTCAGTCACTCCGTACTGCAGGGGTCAGAGCCAAGTCTACGAAGCCATCCCAAATCCCCTCAGGGTCAGAACCCCCAGGGACCTCAGAGCTCAAGGTGGAAGGCAAAGAACAGGGGCCAGGGCAGAGCTGAGCTGACCCGGGACAGCCACAGAGGCTCAGGAGCACAGGAGAAAGGCCACTTACGAAGGGTCCCCTACTCTCTCTGTGCCTTAATTGCTGCTTCAGAAAAATGGGGGAAATAACAGGAGCCATTTCAGAGAGCAGCTGAGAGGACGGGGCCACACTGGTCCACACAGAGCCCCAGGGCAACTCCGCGGGCCCCTGCGCTCTCTGTCTGTCCCTTTGGATGTATGTAGGCTCCGAGTCAAGTCCCAGGGACCAGAGGTGTGCTTCTGAGCCCCGAGGGGCTGGCGCTGCTCCAGGAGATTCGGCAAAGGGCGGAGAAAGGCATCTGGTCCAGTCTAGAACCTGGACACGGCTTCAGTGATCAAATCTGTGCCACCTCATGCACTGGAGGCAGTTTAGAGCATCCCTGGCCCACCCCGGGCGCCATGAGCATCCCCAGCTTTGACAACTAAAAGCGTCTCCAGGCTTGGACAAACGTCCCCCGGGAGCTGGGCTGGCCTGGGAAGCCGGGTGCAGGTTGCGGGGACCTGGGAAGGGCCCCAGGAGGAGCCACCCAGAGAGCGCTGCTCTTCTTGCAGGGAGGAGCCATGGCGGGGCCCGCCCTCCGCAGCGCCGCCCTGCTGTTCCTGGTCCTCCCCGTGCTCCTGCAGCCCAGCGTGGCAGAGTCCCTTGCACCCGGAACGCCTGCCCGGAGCCTGCCTGAGAACCTCCTGGACTTCCCTGCCCCGTGGACACCGCAGGCCAGCCACCACCGCCGCCGGGGCCCGGGCAAGAAGGAGCGGGGCCCGGGCACGCCTGGCCGGGCCCAGGAGGGGGCGGGGGGCACCACCTCCAGGCAGGCCTCTAGGCTGCCAGGGGCTGGGGGGCTGCTGCTGGACAAGGACCTGGTCCCGAGGCTGGCCGTGCCCTCCTCGGACAAGGAGCCCAGGTCCCCAGGGTGGGAGAGGGTGAAGAAACGCAGCAGGAAGCACAAGAGACGCCGGGACAGGCCGGAGCCGCACCGAGGTAGCCGAGACCTGCGCGGGGAGGGGGCCTGGGGACCCGCGGGAGGGGCAGGGCCAGGGCTCAGATCCGAAGGCCCAGGCCAGGCCAGGAGAGGGAGGCCAGAGGGGCGACACTGCAGGAGTCCCTGAGAGATGAGCCAGAAGCCCCAAAGCGGGCAGGCAGTGGCACCCAGGAGAGAGGAGAGAGGCCCACTAAAGTCAGGGTCCAGTAAGAAGAGGAGGAAGGGAGAGGAGGTGGGGGGACACCGAGGTGGATAGGTAGCAATAGAGGATCAGTCTCCCCCATAGATCATCTTCTTAAGTCAGGAAGTTCTACCTTTTATTTGACCTAAATCTATTACTCCAAGTCCTAAATCTATTACTCCAAGCACACCTTTAAACCACTCTGGAATAGAGTGAGGGCCGAGAGCGCAGGCTCTGACCCCAGGTCTGTCCGAGATCAGGTCCTGGCTCCATCCTCACTAGTCTGTGGCCCTGGCCGAGTTCCTGGTCTGTGCCTCAGTTTCCTCTCTGCACAGTGAGGAGGGCGGCCCCTTCACCCCCCAGGTGGATTCAGAGCTCTGCTCTAAGAGTGCCTAGAACGCAGGTGTTGGGAGCCACCAGCAGTCACTGCTAGTCAACCTTCAGGTCCCTTAACCTGTGTCCTCCGACCTGGACACAAGTAGCTTCCTGGCACTGTGAAAAGATGTAGGCAGAAGGTTTAGCGGCACCGAGGTGTGCCCCTGGGACCCCAGCTACTCAGGACGCTGACGCAGGGGGATGGCCCATCCCTGTCCCTCCTGCGCCTGTCCTGAGTGTGGCAGGGCCTCCTCCCCCACCTTCCTTGACTTCCCCACGTTCCCTACACACAGGAGCTTCAGCCTGGAGCCCTGGGCCCAGCTTCCCCGCTGGGTACATCCGTCTCTGGACAAACCTGGCTGACAGACCAGGAGGCCCCCCTCTCCCCAGCCCTGGGCCCCCACAGGCCCGCTCAGCTTCCAGGTCTCTAAGTGACAGACTGTCTCTAGGGGACACTGCCTCTGCGTGCCACAGACGGGAAGGGGTGGGAGGTCTTAGGGAGGAAGGCGGGGAGCCCCCCTGCCAGGCCTCCTGAGCCCCCCAGGACACAGAACCCAAACAAGTACCCCAGCCTGACTTTCCGCCTCCTTCCCCAGTGGTCACTTGCGTGAGGCTGCAAAAGTGAATGGTTCCCAAGACCCCATCTACTCCCGAGATTCATTTCTTCAGGGTGGGGGGGACCCCAATGGACCCAGCTGAACTCACCGCCAGGTCTTGCCTCAGCAAAAGAGGCAAGGACAAAGCCCGGCCCTCCAGCCTCTCTCCAGGTCCCACCATCGATGAGCCCCCTGTGGCCCTGCACTCTCGCCCTCCCACTCAAACCACCCCACATCCGTGGGGCTTGGCAGGTGATATCAGTGTTAAATGCATTGACCTTGCACTCAGATGATCCTGGGTTCAAGGCTACTAATGAGCTGTGAGTCCTTAGGCAAGTTACCTAACATCTCTGTGCTTCAGTTTCCACCTCTATAAATAGGGCTGTAGGAGCGCCCACATCCCAGAGCTGCTGCAATGGTTAGATGAACTATGAACTAGTACTTCTGAAGTGGCTCCTCTGGGATCCAGGAGAGTAGGTGCTCAATAAATAGGGTGGTGACTAATTTCAGCACATAGGAAGCACCAAGTGTGTGGCAGCCTGCGGTGCTCACTCCATGGTGAATCCCACCAGTGCCCCCGCCCCGCCCTCACCCCTGCCCCACTGAGCTCCCCTGGGGGCATGCTACCCGATGGTGGCTGAACCAGGGCTGTCCCTTGGTCCCTGCTGCCCCTGGTTTGCAGCAGAAGAGGTAGGTTGTACCGTCTGCTGACCCAGGTGGCGGCAGGTAAAGCCCTCTGCCTCTGCCCTGGGTCCCAGGCCGCGCCTTGGTCCAAGGCCCCAGCTCCCTGAGGAGGAGGGCGGATCTCTCTGAAGACCCCTCCCTGGCTGCTGCCCCTGAGGAGTCCTCCACCAGCCTGGCGCCCACCATGCTCTTCCTAACCACCCTGGAGGCAGCACCTGCCACCGAAGAGTCCCTCATCCTGCCTGTCACCTCGCTGAGGTCCCAGGTAAGGTGCCCAAGACCCTGGAGCTGGAACTTCAGATCTTGTCACGGGAACCCCTCTCAGTACATGAAGGGGCACCGAGGCCTGGCAGGAGGGTGCTGGGGGGCCCCAGGCCCAGGTGGACACCTGGTCTCCAGATGCCAGTGCAGTCCAGCCCCGGCCCAGCCGCCCCTCCATCCTGGGGAAGGGCACGCCTGCCAGGTGGGCTTGGGGCCATCTGGGGGAGGAAGCAGTGCAGCCTAGCACACTAGCCTCTGTGCACAGAGCGGCCAGGCCCTTAGGAAAGAGCTTTAGAGTCCAGAAGAGGACAGAGAACAGTCACAATAGCTGTGAACACCATGTCCTCTGACCGGTATCAACTAGCAAGGCCGCAGTTCCACCCACCTCTTCCCGACTCTTTGTGTTTTTTGTTGTTATTGTTGTTTGTTTGGCTGGGTTTTTGTTTGGTTTGGTTTGGTTTGGTTTGGTACCAGGGATAGAACTCAGGGGCACTCGACCACAGAGCCCCATTCCCAGCCCTATTTTATATTTTATTTAGAGACAGGGTCTCACTGAGTTGCTTAGTGCCTCACGGTTGCTGAGGCTGGCTTTGAATTCGCAATCCTCCAGCCTCAGCCTCCTGAGCTGCTGGGATTATAGGTGTGCACCACCGCGCCCAGCTCTTTCTGATTCTTGAGAAAGACAGGAAACCAAACCAGAAAACACAGTAAAAGTGCCACCCAGTGGCAATACCAGGAGGGCATGTAGGAGTGAACCCAGCCACTCTTGTCCTCTATGGTAGCTTTGAGTTTTTTTTTTTTTTAGATAAAACTATTTGAAAGGATCCATAATATACGTAATTTATTTTATATATTGTATAAGAAATAGTGAATAAAAGTAGATATTTTGTCAGTACAGTCATTCCCCCTTATTGTAGTCTACTTTCTACAATTTCAATCCATCATAGTCCAAGAACATTAATAGAAAATTCCAGAAATAAATAATTCATAGGGTTTTTTGGGGGGGGGCCTGGGGATTGAACCCAGGGGTGCTTTACCTCTGAACTACATCCCCAGACTTTATTTATTTATTTATTTATTTTTAGATAGGGTCTCCCTAATTGCTAAGGATCTTGCTAAATTGCTAAGGCTGGCCTTGAACTTGTGATCCTCCTGCCTTACCCTCTGAGTCTCTGGGATTACAGGTGTGCACCACTGTGCCCAACTCAATTCATAGGTTTTGCTGTCTGGAGTAGCAAGATGAAATCTCACTTAGTCTCCTCCAAGACGTGAATCGTTCCCTTATCAGATACACCGTGTCCATGCTGTATATGCTACCTCCCCGTTAGTCTCTTTACAGCTGTCTACTAGTTAGCATCAGATTGATCGTAGTGGTACAGCAGTCCCTGTGTTCGAGTTACTCTTAGTTTACTTAATAATGGCCCCAAAGCACAAGAACCGGGCTGCTGGCAATTCAGAGATGATGAATACAAGCTGTAAGGCACTTCTTTCAGTATCCTCTCGCCTGTCACACAAAGGAAGAGTGTGCCGTGCAGTAAGATATTTTGAGAGAGAAAGAAAAGCCATATAATTTCAGTATAGTATATCGCTATGATTGTTTCATTACTAGTTGTCGTTGATGTCCACCTGTGCCCAGTCTACAAATCACAGTCCACCACTGGCGGGTAGGCACAGGAAGAGCTCTGTACAGGCTTCAGCATTACCAGGGTGGCCTTGGAATGGGTCTGCTATGATCAAAGAGGGACTTAGATTTTTCTTGTCCTCTTTTGGGTCCTGTACCTTCTGATATTCTGAAGAAAGCTAGGGAGTCCATGGTTAGCTATGTCATTGGAGGTCCCTTGAAGACCACCAGTTGAGAACCCAACTCTGGAAATACAGTTATTGCCTGAGTCCTACTGTGTGCAGTGACCCTGTGCAGAGTCAGTCATAGTCTCTGGTCTTCAGTAGTTTTGAGGACAGTAATGGGAGCTTTGAGTGGGACAGAGTCCTCGTCCCTGGCCACCACAGTGCCTCAGGGAGCTGAGGAGAGGAAAGGACAGAGAAGGGAGTGGCTGGACTTCTTCACGCCGGGCACAGGGGCACACGCCTGTAATCCCAGCGGCTCAGGAGGCAGGAGGATCGCAAGTTCAAAGCCAGCCTCAGCAAAAGCGAGGTGCTAAGCAACTCAGTGAGACCCTGTCTCTAAATAAAATACAAAACAGGGCTGGGGATGGGGCTCAGTGGTCGAGTGCCCCTGAGTTCAATCCCTGGCACCCCCAAAAGAAAGAGAAAGAAAGACCCCTGAGCAAGCAGGAGCTCCTTCAGCCCAGCCGGGGTCAGCGCCCTGCTCAAAGGGCCCCGTGGGCAGCTCACCCAGCTGCTGAGCAGGAGCCTCGGACAGCTGCCCTGGTGTCCTCGGCTAGGAGTCGGGCTGCCCAGCTGCCCAGCAGAAGTGGCCTCTGCGTAGCCTCTCCTTTGTCCTCTGGCCTCGAGACCCCACATTCCTGCCCTATCTGTGGGGAGCTTTAGGGTCCCCTCCATCCGTCTTCTGTAGTCACAGCCCAGGTCTGACGGGGAGGTGATGCCCACGCTGGACATGGCCTTGTTCGACTGGACGGATTATGAAGACTTAAAACCTGAAGTCTGGCCCTCTACCAAGAAGAAAGGTATGGTCGCCTTCCGCACCCTGCGCCAGGCCCGGGCTCCCCTCCACCGCCACCTGCTGGGTCAGTGAGCCCCGTCTGATCTGCTGATGTGCAACGTGGGTGGTGGGTGGTGGGTGGATCCGCCTAAGCCTTAGCTGACCGAGATGGAGAATTCCGGTAAGTGTCCCTACATGCCAAACGCTGCCCGGGTGTCAGCGGGAGGGGAGGGTGACCCGTGGGGTCCGAACTACTGTTGGCCCAGTTTAGAGAAGAAACACTGAGGCACAGAGAGGATGGCTCTTGTCCAAGCCACCCCGCAGGGGCAGCGGCACAGCACAGTGACTCCTGCCCTTTCTGCTCTTTTGGGGCCTCGGCTTCTGACACCCTGCCTCTGTGTTCCCAGAGAAGCACTGGGGTCTGTCCAGAGACAGCAACGGAACATCGCCAGCCCAAGGGCAGCCCTGTGACCATCACCAGGACTGCCTGCCAGGTACCCCGGGGTCCAGGCTCTGGGCTGGGAGGAAACCAGGTGGTCCAGGGGTTCCCAGGCACATGAGCAAGGTCAGAGGCTCCCTGTCCCTTGGCAGACGATAAATAATGTCAACGAAAGCCACCAATGTCCGTCTGAAGAGTCTCTATCATAAGTCAATTCATCTAACCCTTTACTCACTGCAACCCAGAGAGAGGGTCACTGTCCTCCTCAGATTTCCGGCGAGGCAGCTGGGCCTCAGAGAGGCTGTGTCTGGCCTAAGGTCACACAGGTGGAGGCCATCAGTCATTGCCACTGAACCCAGTTGCCTGGGGAGAGCCTGGAGGGGCGCACCTCGGGACAGTTCCACCAGTGGCCAGGGTATTCTGCAAAACAGCGACCAAACCAGCCGCTGGGCATGGTGCCAGGCCACCACGCCCTCACAGCCCGCTTCCTCCCCAAGCCACTGTTTGCTCTTGGGCACAAAGACAGGCCCCAGCTTGTGCCTGTCCCCCGGGCAATCCTGGGCAGCTGGCTGCAGACCAGGTCTTGGCCTGTCTGGGGCGATCCTCCAGACACCTGGGGCTTCGGTCTCCCAGTCTGGTTGTCACTGGTCCCCGAGGCCCCTCACTGCTCAGAGCTGACTCCACACCGGCAGCCCCCAGCTGTTCCCCCCGCTCTCCTGGGGAGGTGACCCCACACCACCTTCCCGCTTCCCATAATCAATCAGGCGCCCATGGGGGCAGCTGGGGTCTCTGCCCTCCACCTCCAGGGACCTCAGCCTTGACGTCCATCGGTGGTTCCAGCCGGGCAGCCCTGTGCACCAGATGGCCCACACTGCCGCGGCACGGTCTGCCACCGTGATGATGGATGTCCCGTCCAGGGGGACTGTGAGCTGGGCAGCCGGGAGGGGCTGCTCTGCCCGGCTGACCGCGTGCTCTTGCTGTGTGGCAGGGACCTGCTGTGACCTGCGGGAGCATCTCTGCACCCCCCACAACCGCGGCCTCAACAACAAATGCTTTGACGACTGCATGTGTGTGGAAGGTGAGTCCCGTCCTCGCCACAGGCCTCCTTCCCAAGGCTGGTCTGCAGTGAGCAGGCAAGATGTCCTGGCCACGGTGGGCAGGAGCGAGAACAGACGTGAGCTGCGCACGTGAGCCGCCCGTCTACGAACTCGCTGAGTCTGGGTTCCCCGGGGGGTGGGGGTGGGGGTTCCCAGGTCTGCTTCCTCACCTCCTGAAATGGCTGGCTGCTGTCCACATCAGGGGCCGGAGGAGGAGGAGACCCAACAGTCCTTTCCCGGGGAGGCCTCCCCATAGATATCCAGGTTGGGTGGGTTGCCCCACACCTGTCCAGGGAAGGATGCCGGGTTCATCCCTCCAGGCTCCCACCTCTCCCGTGCACACACACCCAGGAGTCCAGGTTCTGTGCTTTCTCTCCAGAGATCCTCACAACCAGCCCCAGAGGGGAGCAGCTGTCACGTTCCCCACTTCACAAAAAAAGCCCTTCTCCAAACTTACACATTTCGAAGAGTAGGGGAGGGCTGGGGAGGCAGCCCAGCTAGAGCATTTGCCCAGCATGTGCAAAGCCCTGGCTTCCATCTCCAGCACAGCTGAAAGTAAAAAGAAGGAAAAAACAGTACTTCCAATTTGTTATTCTGAAATTTTTCAAATATATACTAAAGTAGCCAGAATCTTAGCATGAACCCCCATTTCCCTTCTCTGGGCTTCAATAATTACTAACTTACAGCGATCTGTGCTGTCTCTCCCCAACCTACTTCCCTGGTCCAATATGATTTTGAAGCAACTCATGAAAGCATACAGATATTTCAGAAATATTTTGGTACATATCCCAAAAGGATAAGAACCCTCATGCCCAGTGCTGTGTGCACACCTGTAATTCCTGCCATTTGGGAGGCTGAGGCAGGAGGATTACAATTTTGAGGCGAGCCTCAGCAACTTAATGAGGCTCTAAGCAACTTAGGGAGACCCTGTCTCAAAAGTAAGTAAGTAAATAAATAAATAAATGGATGGATGGGGATGTAACTCAGTGGTTCAATTCCCAGTACCAGAGGGCAGGGGCAGGAGATAAATACCCTCTTAAAACCAAAATACCACAATTGAACAATAATTTCCCAATACCATTTAATATCCAATCTGCATTGCCCCCTCTTATGTGAGAGAATTTGGACTCAGTCCCTCTATGAACCTGAGATACCTGAGCCCAATTTTGCTCACGTTATCTTAAAAAAATTATCTGCTGGGGAAGCGATAAAGCTATTGGGTTCTGACCATTCATGTGGTCAGGTGAGAAGTCGATTTGAGCACCTCCTGGGTGTCGGATGCTGGACCCTGCAGATCTGGCAGGGAAAGAACCGCAGAGTCTGTGCCCATGGATTAGCTCGCAGACAGAAAGCCAATCCACAGATAAGACATCTTTGGAAAGTCAGAGGCTGTGGAGAAAAGGGCCCAGAGAAGGGGTTCCCAGAGCCCCGTGCGCTCAGTCCTGGAGCAGCGCCAGGTAGTGCAGCCAGCTGCCCAAAAGTGGGGGAGCGGGAGGACGGTTCCAGGCAAGGGATAGAGCGTAAGGAAAGGAACGGCTTGGTGTGTCACATGGTGACCCTGGCGAAGGTGGCAAAGGGAGGGGAGAGAAGCTTCCAGAAGGATCACCCAGGACCTTGACCTTGTTTGGATCTTGTTTTGTTTGTAATTTGGAAGTTATGGGCAGGTTTTAGCTCGGGGTGTATGCTGGTCTGACCTCTGAGATTGAGACCAATGTGAGCACTCAGGGCCCCTCACCAGGGCTGGGCTAGACCAGCGACCAAGGACAATGATGCCTTAGGGTCCGGCCTGGAGGCATTGAGTGCTGGGTGGGCGGTGGGTTTGTTGTTGTTGTTTTTTACTGGGGATTGAACCCAGGGGCACTTAACCACTGAGCCACATCCCCAGCCCTTGTTATTTTTTATTTAGAAATGGTCTTACTGGTTTGCTTAGAGCCTTGCTACATTATTGAGGCTGTTGCTGAACTTGCAATTCTCTGCTTCAGCCTTCTAAGCCACTGGGATTACAGGTGTAGGTAACCACACCTGGGCCAGGAGGGTGGGAGGTGAAGGCATCCCACAGGTGGGCAGGGTCCGGGTCCTGGAGGACCTTATAAGCCAACATATGAAGCCTAGATTTCATTTTAGGTACAGTGGAAGCCACGGGAGAATTTATAGGCAAGTACAGTGCAGACTTAGCATGTGAGAGGCCCTGGGTTCGATCCCTAGACTCTGTGTGTGTGTGTGTATAGATTTTTTTAAGTATATATTTTTAAATAAAATTTTTCTCCCAATTTTTAAATTGTCACCTTTATTTTTAGAGCAGTTGTAGGTTTACAGAAAAATCGCAGGGTGTGTAAGAGTTCTCCTAAACCCTTTTCTCCCCTGCATGCAATTTTCCCTAACAGCATTTTGTGTGGCGTGGTACATTTCTTACAATGGATAAACCAGGACGCTTAGGTTATTATTAGAGCCCACAGTTTACTTGAGGGCCATTGTATGGTACAATCTGTGGGCTTTGCCCAACGCATGACATGTATCCACCATTATGGTGTGGGGGGAATATGTTCACCGCCTTAATCATCCCCTGTGCTCCATCATCTGTTAATCCCCCACCCACACTCCCACCCCCCTGAAGCTGGATCTCCCTCTTTTGTTTTGTTCTGTTCTGTTTTCTGCCGTGCTGGGGAGGGAACCCAGGGGCAGCAGTGCTCTGTCACTGATCTACACCTCCAGCCCTGGGGGGTGGGGGGGTGTACCAGGGACTGAACTCAGGGCATTTGACCACTGGGCCACATCTCCAGCCCTATTCTGTATTTTTTATTTAGAGACAGGGTCTCGCTGAGTTGCTCTGTGCCTCGCGTTTGCTGAGGCTGGCCTTGAACTCGCCATCCTCCTGCCTCAGCCTCCTGAGCTGCTGGGATTACAGGTGGTGAGCCACCGTGCCCTGCTCCCAAGTCTCTCTTTGAAGCTCATGCAGGCGCAGTGCGGATGGGCTGCAAGGCCGAAGAAGAAGGAAGGAGAGATCAGGGGTGCAGGGCCAAGCAGGGGAGGGGACAGGTGGGTCCGAGGCCTGACCTTTGCCTCCCTTCGCCCAGGGCTGCGCTGCTACGCCAAATTCCACCGGAACCGCAAGGTCACACGGAGGAAGGGGCGCTGCGTGGAGCCCGAGACCGCCAACGGCGACCAGGGATCCTTCATCAATGTCTAGCGGCCTGGGGGAGGCGCCTCCCCAGTGGCCAGGGGACGGAGTCCGGAGGTTTGGAGAAGCCGGGCAATTTGTAACTAGCAGTGCGACATCAAGTGGGGGACCAGATGGCGAAGGCTGCAGTTGCAGGCTCAGGACACTCAGCCCCAGAGGGGATCGCTGGGCCCCCTAGCTGCCCCCTCCCAGGTGACAAACCGCGGGCCATCTGCACCTGCCCAGCCCACCCACGCGACCTGCACCTGCCCAGCCCACCCACGCGGCCGCTCAGCCCACGCATCCGGCTCTCCGCGATGGCCACGTCGAGAGTGCCCTCTACTGTCCGTCAGCAGCACTGCAGGCGCCTCGAGTTCACACCGAGGTTTTGGAGAGTGAAACAGACCTAGGACTCCCCAGGCAGGAGATGAAGCTGGAACTCTCTTCCGTACCAGGCACGGTGCTAAGGGCTCCGTATGCGTTATCTCTTGGAATTATCACAATGACCTTGTGAAGCCTGCACGGTCAGCATCCTGTAGGTGAGGACACGGAGGCTCGCTTGATTTACTTGGCTTGTCCAGGGTCTCAGATCAATGATCCTCAAGCCTTAACGTAGGTAAGAGCCGCCGGGGTCTAGTTGAAAAGCACATTCCAGTTCAGTAGATGGCGTTGGGAGGGAAGGCTCTGAACTGGGCCTGAGCTATCAAGCTCCAAGGCCCAAGTTCTTGCCCCTTCACAACCTAGAACTTAGTCCAGGTTCTCCCCGGCTTTCTGCAAGAGAGATGCGCTCCCTGGGAATTCCTTTCTCTGTGGCTGGAACAACTTGTCTGTTCTCCACCTTCCCGGGACACAGGTGGATTACCTTTAAAAGCAAGATGACATGGACAGTAAGCATCGGCCTGTGTGTGAGGATGGCTCTGGGCAAATTGGCCCCATATCTGGTGTTGATGTTCTGAGACATGAAGTGTGCATGGGGACAATCACGTTGCTCTGAAGTCCCTGTGGTCTTACTCCTCAGCATGTGGCACGCACTTCCAAGGTGTCCTGAGAGCCTCTACCCCAGCAGTTCTGAAGCAAGCATGGTGACACACGGGCACCGGTCATCTGTGTACACCCACCCTGCACACTGTTTAGTGATCCCCAGGTCACCCTGGAGACCATCCCTGGGCCCCACCCCATACTTCTGCAGCAGACCCCATTGGAAGGTGAAGGTACCTCTGAGATTGGGGTGCTCCCCAAAGGACCCCAACAGGCGAGGCCCATGATGCCCACCAGCAGATCTGCCTCTGGGGTGGAGACATCCATTTAAATCCCCCCACCTGGCATGTCACTCCTGGCCAACTGTCTGGCCCAGGGCAAATCAGGTTGCACATGACCACACTGTTGGCCATTCAAACCCCTCCCTGGCCTGGACCATGGCCCTAGGGTGCCAAGGGCTGTTTACCACTTTGAGAAAATCAGTTGAGGTCAAGGGTTAGGCACCAAGGAAAGCAGGCAGATCTAGAAGAAATCAAATATGCCTGTTCTCCTCTCCCTCTTCAAGGTTGATAGGCATGGGAATCCTGGGGGCAGAAGGGAGGGTGGGGAGCTGACAGGGATCAAAGCTGCTGGTTGGAAAGTGAATCTGCCAACAGTTTTGTGTCCAAGACCGACAAGCCCCACGCTGGGCGCCTCACACAGCGAGGCTGATTCTGGATTGTGCTGGCTCTGTGGGGCAGGATCCCAAGGGGCGGCTTCTGACAGCATTGCTATGGCTGGAGCCAGGGTTGGAAGGCCCAGGACATCAGCAGTGGAAAACGCAGACGGTCAGGGCAAAGCTGAAAGGCTGCAGAATCATCCCTGCCTCCTCCACAGTCCACAGCTGGAAATCCCAGGCCCTCGTCTTTGCCCTAGATACCTCCATTTTGCACTGGGCGGGGGAGAGGGTGGGAAGGTGGAATCTGTTTAACTCTCAAGTTGGGGATCCCAAAGCCCCTCAAGTGTTTCATCCACCTCTCTTCCAGGAAAGTTCTTCCTTGAGTCTACCTTTCTTTTGCTGGTACAGTCGCCAATTTCCTCTAATCCAGAACTCAGCAAACTTTTACCGTGAAAGGCCGAATAAATATTTTAGACTTTGCAGACCATACAGTCTCTGCCGAACTACAGAACGGCCATAGCTCAAAGCGGCTGTGGACAACATGCAGATGAAGCCGCTTGGCCATGTGCCAGGGGAACTATTCACAGAAAAAATTTGAGAGTCATGTAATTTTCTGTGTCACAAAATATTCTTCCTCTTTTAGATTTTCTAAAACCACTTAAAATGTAATATATATATATATATATATATATATATATATATATACACTTCCCTTGCAGACTACCCCAAAACAGGCCTTCGGTCAGACTTGTCCATCTTCGGTCAGTCCTTGCTCCAATCTGTCACTTCTTAGCAAACATTGGAATAATCTGGGGAACTTCCAAAGACCTAGGGTCCAGGTGACAAGACTGTTTTGATATGGATTTTTGTTTGTTTTGTTTTTTGCAGTGCTAGGGATCAGACCCAGGGACATGCATATACTGGGTCACTGCTCCACTCTACTTGGTCGGAGTCGTGGTCTGGGCTTCATATTTTTCTAAAGCTCCCCCGGTTCTCTGGGGCACCTCTTCTCTGGGCTCCCATCTCTTACAGTCCATGTGATGAATATAGCCTATTCCACCTCTCACCACCCTGCTGACCTTTGGAAAGTTACTTAAGGTTTCTGTGCCTTGGTTTTTCATCTGTAAAATGGGGCCTGGGGCTACAGGTGTGGCTCCATGGTAGAACATTTGCCTAGCATGTGTGAGGCCCTGGGTTCAATGCCCGGCACTACAAAAATAGAAATAAAATACAACAGGGATAATAACTTTCCCTTCATAGAGCCATTGTGAAGAATAAATGCATAATTCTTATGGGGGATTTGGAATCGTGCAGACACACGACAAACCCACAGGGCCACCTGGCATGTCACTCCTGGCCAACTGTCTGGCCCAGGGCAAATCAGGTTGCACATGACCACACTGTTGGCCACTCAAACCCCTGCCTGGCCTGGACCATGGCCCTAGGGTGCCAAGGGCTGTTTACCACTTTGGGAAAATCAGTTGAGGTCAAGGGTTAGGCACCAAGGAAAGCAGGCAGATCTAGAAGAAATCAAATATGCCTGTTCTCCTCTCCCTCTTCAAGGTTGACAGGCATGGGAATCCTGGGGGCAGAAGGGAGGGCGGGGGAACGTAGTTCCTAATCATAGTTCTGGGAGACTCTTGTTAGTCCTTCTGGTCTCAGTGACTCATCGCATACTCAGAGGTGATTCCTGCCACCATGCAGACTTCGAAGTGCGTTCATAGAATGCTGAGCCGTGTGATGCTCTGTTAGAAAAAAGGGGTGGGGTTCCAGGATCAAAGTGTGGAAGATTGTTCTAGACACAACCCTGAGCAGCAGGCGCGATTCCAGGAGCTGTGGCAGAGCTGGAGGAGCAAGTGACTTTTCCCAAGTGTAAAATTGTTCCGTGGGGAGAGCTGAGCAGGGGCCAAGAGGAAGCCGATAGCTTCTGGGACCACCACCTGAGCCCACCTGCGGATCCTCCAGCCGAAACCTCGACACCATTCCCAGAGACCAAGATCCCCTCCACGACCAGGGGCTGCCTTTCTGTGCTTGGTCTGGTGACTCCAAGGGTGGTTTCTGTGCCTGCCGGGAGTGAGCTGAGGGTCTGATGACATGAGAGACAATCCTCCTGGGAAAGTGACAGCTTCATTTGCTCCTCGAAAAGTGACTGAGTCACAAGTCAAATCCCAAAGCCACAACCCCTTCTACCACTGAGATGCCAGCAGGTGGATCCTTCCAAGAAGCCAGAACCCACCGACAGGGACACAGTGGGGCCGTGGCCTCACGATGAGGTTCAACTTTGCAGCTGGATACACTAGACATTGAGGTCACCTGCAAGGCACACGTTTAGAAACAACTGGAGCAGCCCAGAAAGTAAGCCACCGAGGACTTCCCAGGGCCGGGCTGGACACCATCCCGCCAAGATCAAGTCATGCTCACAGTCATGCAGTAGCCAGTGTGTGCATGTGCCCGGGAGGCTGCGGGCAGGGGTGGGCCGTTGCAGAACCAGGGGTTTCTATTTCAGGGAGTCCGTTTTCTGGATTCTAAGGCGGAACAGGTGATCTGATGCAGGATTCCTGGGGCCACTTCCGGCTGCGAGAGGCTGTCTAGTCCTCACCCCTCACCATGTGGCCTAGGCCTGCTGTATCACCCAGGAGCCTGGTGGAAGCACAGAACCTCGGGCCCCACCCCTTCTACCTACTGAACCCGAATCTTGGTATGTGTGTCCGGGTGACCCAGCCACCTGGCTTTTAACAAGTTCTCCAGGTCATTCTTGTGCACCATGAAGTTTGAGAGTCCCAGGTCTGCGATGCAGGATGGAAAACAGAGATGTGGGATGGCTGGGGACGTTGGGATGACTCAGGGCATTGGTATTCAAACGTGTTCTCAGAGATCCCGCTTGCTATACTGCTCAGCCTTGCAGCTCTGAGGCCCCGCCTCCGGGGCTGGCACTGGTCCTGTGTTTAGAGGAAAATGGGTGGGGCACCTGGGCTTAGGACCCTCAGTCATAGGGTTTTCTGACTTAGGGAATTTCCCGGGGAGGGGTTGTGGCTCCTCCTGAAGGTGTGGGAGCAGTGGGGGGGCTGCACTCTTGCAGACCTAGGACGTCATGTTGCATGTGTGCTGCGAGCTGTAAATAAAGGGATGGTGGCTGAGCTGCCTGGCCTCCTTCTGTTCCTCCAGCAGATGGTCTGTCTGGGATGACAGAGCATCGCCAGGGCCCTTGAAGGGACCCGAAGCCCAGTGTTTCCCCTGCCATTTCCCGTCCCTCACTCCACACATTTGACCCAGCATGGGCTCTGAGCAGGCAGCAAGCAAGGCGGACCCTTCCCCTGGGCCTCAGCTTGGCCCCTTATCTGGACCTCCTGGGCAGGTCTCGTGTTTTATCTCCCTACCCATTGTACCCATCGTAGGGTTGGGGCTGCTGAGGCCCCAAACAGTTTACAAGGCTGGTCACAGCGGCAAGGCCTCCAGAGGCTCCGTTCTGGGCCAGGGTGGCCAGTGCAGGGTCAGCAGGGTGAGGAAGAAGAGCACAGCCTCAAGGCCAGGCTGGCGTGGGCTCAGGTGCCATCTGGGGGAAGTGTGTGAACTGGCCAGAGGGAGCCCTGGCTTAGTACCAGGTAGGACACTGTGCAGACCAGGCTGTCAGAGGCCTAGCTCATCAGAGGAGGCTGTGTGACGGCTCCTGGTGGCACCGTGTCCCTGCCTCCCAAAGCCCCAGACACACCTATGGCTGGTTAACCCTGGACAGGGACCCTCCACCTAGGGACCTACAGAGATCTCCGCACCCAGCCTAGATGGGGAAAGCAGGTCTCCTCGAATCAGCGTTCCCTAAAGATGGGGCCTTAGCTAGGCAGCAGGAGAGTCCTCTGGGGAGCAGACCCAGGCTTCTGAGCCCCACCTGGACCTGATGGGCTCAGGACTCTGCCTATCGAGTAACTCCAGGCTGAGGACTGCCACCCCAGACCTTCCTGAGAACTCACTGTCCCCAGGTGGCTGCTCAGGCCCCAGGTGGCCTAACAAGCTGCTGCCAAGGATGGTTCTGAAGAATCAAGGCCAGAATTTCTCCTTCCTGTGGGTCTTCCAAATCACACCCTTCCTGCCCTGACCCCCATCTCAGGGCAGAGGTAACACACAAATGCAGGACTGCCAACGCGGGAGCGCAGCTCAGGAAGCCTTATCTACACAGAGGGGCAGCAGCCGGACTTGGCCCTTCAGTTGTAATTTGCTGACCCCTCACCTATACTGCTGACCTGGGTCAACAGCTGCAGAAAGGCACACTGGGCTTTGAAAGCCCCTTCTGTCCTGGGCTGTCAACTTGAACCATTTCTGCTAATACAGGTTAGAGAGTGCTGAGATATAAAGGGTCAAGTCCTGTCAAACGCAAGGCCACAGGGATGTCAGCTCTGTGCTGGCAGCCTGCCCGCCGCCTTCGGGGGGTCAGATGGCTACACTGGGGTGGATCAGTCATGGTTCTTCAGAGGAAAAGGCCAATAGGAAATTTATATTTATGTATCTTAAATTAACTATGTATATATGCACATACATATAAATATGTTAACGTGTGATATATACACATATATGGTGGATTTATTTTAAGGAACTGGCTCCATGATTGTAGGGGCTAGCAAGTCTGTAGTCTGTAGAGCAAGCTCGCGGGCCAGAGACTCAGGCAGAGTTGATATTGCAGACTTGAGGCCAGATCTCATTTCCAAGTCCTCGGGGTTTTTTTTTTTTTTTTTTGGTACTGGGGATTGAACCCGGGGGTGTTTAGCCACTGAGCCACATCCCCAGCCCTTTGTTGTATTTTATTTAGAGACAGGGACTGACTGAGTTGCTTGGGACCTCACAGAGTCGCTGAGGCTGGCTTTGACCTCATGATCCTCCTGCCTCAGCCTCCCGAGCTGCTGGAATTACAGGCGCCATTTTTGTTCTAAAGGCCTTCAACACAGAAAACTGGCCATTCGGAGGCTTCAGGGGCACAGTGCCCTAAACCCTGGATCACAGAACCAAGGCACACAGCAGATTGGTCTTTGTGGGCTATGAAACTCTGGACAGAATCTCCATTGGTCATCTTGAACTTTAGGTGACAACATGACCAGCACCAACTACTGGTATCTTGGGTCAAATATCCAGCAAATGTCCACCCAGTATCAATCTGGGTCAGGGTGGGATGGAAGGATGAGAGTGAGTGAGTAGGCAGATGGCTAAATAGAGGTTCCCCCTGCCCTTCTTCACAGCCCACCCCCAGGATATGCCAGGAGATGCCACACTCTGGCCTATGGTGAAAAACCAGGTGTGTGTCCAGGAGACCAGAGGTAGGGGACCCAGCTCCTTCGTCCTGGTGACTGGTCAGTGCAGCTCTGTACACTGTGGTCCTGAACCATCTCTGTGCCCTCCACCTTGACCTCGGGTCAGTGGCCAGCACGGAGCAGCACATGTTCAGAGAGGGGAAACATGAGGGCACATCCAGCTCTGGCCTCTGTTGACTGCGTGAGGCCCCCATCCTCTTATGAAATGGAAACTGTTAGGCTGACTTTTGCAGAGGAGGAAAAGGAAGGCACAGAGAAGTGAGGCCACCTGCCCAGTGGTGCTAAGCTGGTTGGCAGCAGAGCCAGAGGCCCTGCCAAAGTCTGTCTGACTCCCAAACCTGAATATATGTCCATGACCCATGGTACAAGTTTACTGAGCACCTACTAGGTCACTGATGCCCCTGCCCCACTCCCCAGCCCCCCAGAGTCAGGGGTGCTGCCAGACCTTCACCTTCATCTTTAGGCTGCCTCTCAGAGAGGAAGGGGATGGGGATTCCTCCCAGGGGCTTTCTGACTAGCAGAGCCGGTGGAGGCCCCTGCCACCCTGCCCTGTCCTCATTCTTCCCTTATCTCCTGGTGCACGGGCTCCATGGGCACCTCCTGAAAGGACAGTGAGGCCTCCCAGAGCCTGCCCTAGGGGCGGACATGAAAGACACACCACAGCAGATAAGCCACAGCAGGACAGGCACCAAGGCCACAGGGCCAGCAGCCACCACGGCAGGGCTTGTTTGTGCTTCTGAGCCTCTGCTCGGGCACAGCCACAGCCCTCAGAGGCCTCCCCTGAAACTCCAGCACCATCCAGGTGGGAAGGCGGGAGCAGCGTGCACTTGGGGAAGGTCAGCTCCAGGCCGCGCCAGGTCCCAGGGCTGCAGAGAAGCTCTGAACCAGATGCTCAGCGTCTGTGGGAGCACGTCCACACACGCGTGTGTTCACATGCATAGACATTCACGCGTGCTCATACATGCACACACATAATGAAATAAAGAGGATCATTGCTCCGTGGATAAATGTTTGAAAGAAATGCCGGAGAGCAGAGAATTCCAGTGAGCAGAGCCGCGGACCTGCTTCCTCTGGGCTGGCTTCCTGAGATCCAGCAGGACGCAGGCAATTGCTTCTCCTGCCTTTTCTATGAGCACCAAGGGTTCCACGGGGCACTCTGATGGGCCCGCTGAGGCCCGACGGGAGCACACAGGTCTCTGGAGGGACAGGGCAACATTTCTAAGTGGTGAGGCTTTGCCAGGACGAGCCTCACCCAGCGGTCATTTTACAGGACCCGGATGAGGTGGCGAAGCAAAGAGGACATTAGGAATTATTTCTGGTGCTTTACAGCTCCAGGAGGACATCGCAGAGCCTGGCCGGTCTCTAAAAGCCAGCTGTGGGCTGGGACACAGCTCGGTTGGTAGAGTGCTTGCCCAAGGCCCTGGGCTCCATCCCCAGCAGCACAAAAAAGAAAGAAAGACAAGTCAGCCGCAGAAGCTGTGCCTTTGGGACAAATATTTCAGAATCACGCCCCCTCCCCTTGCTTTTGAATAGTCAGAGACAGGAGCCCCTCCCAGGACAGGGGGCTCTCACACCCCCGCACAGCGTCAGGTTCCCCAGACACACTGGAAGAGGAAACAAGAAGAGCCACCAGGCAGGAGGACATCTTCCTGGCCGTGAGCCGTAGTGTGGGCACTGCAAGTCCTCATGGCAGGATGGCGGACTCACCAGGGACCCGGACACAGGACAGGGATGAGGCCTGGGAGCCCCGGAGAGCCCAGCCACCAGCTCAAGGCCTCCATGGTCCGTGGGCTTCTTTCACCTTCTCCTGTCCCCGTCCCACTGTCTTGCTGCTCACGGCAACTGGCCGCTGCAAGGGTGAGAAGACCATGTGCACAGACACCAAGGTCGGCGCTGACCCAGCGACAGCCCGGCCCTCCCGGCCCTGCCAGACCCAGGCCAAGACACGGAGCGCGCCTGTGAGCATCACGGGGAAGGGTTCCACACGGAACCCCAGAAAAAGCCCAGCCATAAGGGGCCAGGACTCCCTGCCAGCCCCTCCTCCCTGGGCGTCTCCTGATGGGCCCTGCTTGCTCACAGGGAGTGAGACTGTCCGACAGGTTTTGGGTTTCTCTGCTGTTTCTTCCGGTTTTATTTGCCCACTTTGGAAAGGAAGTGGCTGGAATCTGCATCAGAATTGGTGTCCACTATCTTGTGGATCAAAGGACAATTGGAAATCCATGCAAAGTCTTTTCTTATTCAATGCCTCATATTCTACAAGCAGAAAAAAAAAAATCAGAGTCAGTGACTCACCCAAGGTCACAGGAGAGTGCTGGGAAGACCCTGGGAAATCAGCAGGAATCCCCACAGTGTGCAGAGGTCAGCTCCAGCAGGAAGGCCAGCAGGAAAATGTCTGCGCCTCATCTCTGTCCATCAGACCCTATCCATTCACGGTGTGCCCGCAGGCCAGGGAAAGACAAGAGATGCTGAAGACACCGTGTTTTTAGTGTAGCAACAGGACAGCCCCTGCTTATCAGGTGCCACCCAGGAGCTGTGCCAGGCACCCTACATAAATGACCCCACATCATCCCTGGAGGGGATCTGAGGAGGTCCCAGAGAGGACTCATCACAGGACAATGGCATCCTTGACAAATGTCATAAAAAATGGTTTCAAGAAATGTCGGGTAGAGGCGGAGCAGAGATTTATCAGGAAATCCAGGAGCACACATTCAAGGGAGAATGCGGGCCATCTCCAGCAGGAGAGATACTTTTGGGGTCTGGGGCTCTTCTTTTAAAAGAAACCTTATGGGGGGTGAGCATGGGAAGGTGTGCGGGGATGACATCAGCCTCACGATCCCAGATGGTATGTGGTAGTCGGTGACTCCGTATCCCCAGGTTGACGTCTTCTCCACTGTCTGATCAGTAGACAATGTGGCCAAGTCCCCTGTGGGATAGGATTTGAATTGCTCTTTTTTTTTTTTTTAGTTTTCGGT